GTACGCCCTTACGACGACGTAAAGGCACTCTTTAAAGGTAGTAGTATACTCTAATTTAAGAGTTATATTAACCTACTTATTTACGTGTTCTAATACTTACTATAAGATTACGGTTTTCTAGTTTTTAAAATTAGACGCTATCTTTTTTAGCGCCTTTTAGTATATCGTATTTAATTTCTTAAGATAAGGGAAAATACGACAGACTATATTATAATAATTATTTAAACAAAAACTAGACATGTATTTTTACTTGTTTAGCTTTTCTAGCTTTATAAAAGCTTTGTCTTTAGCCCTTATCGTTTTAATAACAACTATAGTTAATAGATTAATGTTAGAACAGACGTCGTTTTTATAAAGTTGTAGACTACTAACTTAGTAGTCTTCTTTATCTAATATATCTAATTTATTAATAAGAGTAATTAAAGGTATAGTACCTTACTACTAATAGTACATGGTTTTAAACTAGGCCTAAGATAGGTTTAAACTAGTTTTAAACTAGGCCTAAGTTAGTTTTAAGTTAGTTTTAAGTTAGTTTTAAAACTAACTTAAAACTAACTTAAATTACTCTTGTTACTATAACTTGCCTAACGTTTTAAGGCTTAAGCTAGTTTTAAAACTAGCTTAGGTTTAAAACTAGCTTAGAGCTAGCTTAGAGCTAGCTTAGAGCTAGCTTAGAACTAGCTTAAAACTAGCTTAGAGCTAGCTTAAGGCCAGCTTAGAACTAGGTTAGAACCAGGTTAGAACCAGGTTAATACTAGCTTAGAACTAGGTTAGAACTAGCTTAAATCTATGTAATATAGTACTTATATTACTACTTATCCTACGATCTACGATCTAATTAATCTATTATATTTATCTAACTATCTATCTATCTATTGTATTTATTATATCTATTTATCTATCTATCTATCTATTTATTGTATCTATTGTATCTATCTATCCATCTATCTATTATATCTATTATATCTATTGTATCTATCTATTCATCTATTTATTATATCTATTATATCTATCTATCTATTTATTTATCTATCTACCTATCTATTACATCTATTACATCTATTGTAGCTATTGTATCTATCTAACCATCTATCTACCTATCTATTACATCTATTATATCTATTGTATCTATCTATTATATCCGCTTATAGATAATCTAACCTTTATTTAACTATTATATAAAAGGTAGTATCGTTATTGTTACAAGAAACCACTGGCCTAATCACGTGGAGTTAGCAGTCACGGGACTAGGAGGCTCGGAGCCTTAAGTCTAACCTAATCAGGGTTAGTAACCCGCTAAAAGTTAGTTGTTTACTATTACTATACAGGTACTCTATATAATTACTTTACTTAGTTAATTTAATTTATTAGTTCCTATAATATAACGATAGATCGAATATCCCGTATAATATAGTAGCAATACTATTCGATCTCCTCTATTACTAAATTCGGATTCGATCTATCTATTGATCGTAAGATTCGTTACAGTAAGGCCTGTTTTTAATTATAGCGTGCCGGTCAAAGATTAAACTAGAGCTCTAGACTAGATTATAGAGTTAAGAGAAGGAGATAATAGCTATATCTATAGAACCCTTAGACTAATCACAATATCTAACTTATTAACCGTACTCGTAAGTAGTAAGAGGCTATAGGGCAAGAGTAACTACTGTACTTAGAAGTTAGATGTGTTTAATATATTAGAAGCTAATAGACTTGACAGATATATATCTAAGAACTACCCTATACTAAAGGCTGTTAAATATAGTAATACTAAGGCTATAAAAGAGGAGTAAGACTAATATAACAAATAGAGAGCCGGTAACGTAGTAACACGCTAGGTTATTAAGGAGAACATCTCGTTAGTTCTTATACTTAATCTTATAGCGAAAGTAGACTTAGTAGAGGCTATGTAGACTAAGCTAGCTAATTACTATAAGGGCAAAGGGTTTACTTAATAGTACTAAGCGGCAGATAAGTTCTGGCTACTTAGGTATAAGGATTATAATAATATAGAGAAGTTTATTAACGCTTTTATAACTTAATTAGAGCGAGCTACTTAACTAGATGTAGTGCCTAAGAGCGACTACCTGTACGCTATTATCTTTATTAATCGACTTGTAAAAGCCTTTCCTTAATAGGCTAAAAGACACTAATCCCTTTAAAACCTATAGAAGAGCGGTAAAAAGAGTACCTTATTACTCGACACGTTAATTATAGAGATTAGAGACAAAGCTTAGGCAAAGGATAGATTAGCACTATTATTAGTATCGCTATATAGTAGAAAGCTAGATAACAAGGGTAATAAAGGTAAGGGCAAGGATAAGGATAAGAAGAAGCTTAAGAGAAAGTAATGTTACTACTATAGTAAACTTTATGTAATAAAGGATAAAGACGATTACTAGACTACATTCCTAGAAAAGCGTCCGAAAAGGAAGGACTAAAAGGAGTCTTTATAAGGCGCTATATTACTCTATACAGTAAGTGATTAGTAGCCGTAGATTAATAGTACGCTAGGCCTAAGGGCGTTAAAGGTAGCGCTTAGGTTAGCTACTTAAAAGAAGTTTTAAAAGGGGAATTAGTGCCTTAATATAAGGGCAACTTACTATATATACAACGATAAGTCGATCTACTATAGTTTTAAGGTAACTAAGTAGTTATAACCTGTTCTAATAGGCGCCGGATTAATCTAACTAGAGGGTTATAGTAATATCGTCCTAAAGGCTAAGGTAAGAGGCGATTAGTATTATAAACTACGGCTAAAAGGAGTTCTGTTTATTCTAACCTTTCTTATTAATCTCTTATTAGGTGTTAAGCTACTATACTACAGTAGATCTATTATAAAGAGAGCCCTTTTAGACAGAAAAGAAGAGACGCTTATACTCTATAAGGTCGACGATACAAGAGTATATCTATAGTTAGACTTGCCTAGCTACTATATTATAGTACTACTAGCTGCTCTTTAATAAGGCAAACTAGGAATCAAACTATAGTACAAGAGATTAGGGCACTTAGGCTTTAATAACGTCTAAAAGACCGTAGAAATCACTACTAGTATATAGATTACAGACAAGCCTATAGATACAGATCTTGGCGTTATAGTTCTCTATAAGCCCTACAAGCTATTAAAGCTACTACGCTTAGTTAGACGCTCTATTAAACACTAGCCTACCGTTATACTCTAAGAGGTAAGTATAGACGTAGTAGAGGTTACCCTAATTAGATTCTATAGTAAGTACTACGCTACTATTATAATAGATGTAGTAACTCGTGCTAGATAAGGCTACCCTTACAAGAAGAAAGGGGAGGCTTACAATAAGATCCTTAGCTTTATTAACATAACAGAGCGTTAGTTTACCCTCTTTAAGATCCTTATATTAATAGTTAACAGTAGTAACGAATACAGTAGTATCGCGTTAACTAGCGTCTATAAGGTAAAAGAGATTTAAGTTAAAGAGACTATACTATATACCCCTAAGTAACTAGGCGTATCTAAGATTATAAACAAGATTATAGCTAGACGGCTATAATCTACTATAATTAACTAGAACGTCCCTAAAGAGCTATAGCTAGAGTTACTAGAAGGGACAATTTATGTTGTTAACAGAATAGCTACATTAGCTGTTAAGGGCAAAACCTTATACTAAGCCTTTATAGATTAGCTATACCTAAATTAAGACAACAAGCCGTCTATAGCCTACCTACAGGTACTTAGCTATAAGGTATATGTTTATATCTTAGATTAGAGACAGGTTAAGTTAGGGAAGTTTGATAAGTGTACTAAAAAGGGGATCCTTCTTAGTTTTAAAGGCCACTAAATATACTGTTGTTACGTGCCCTTAAGAGCTTATAAGATCGTTAGATTATTAAACGTAAGATTCGATAAAAGAGGTTTTGTGTTAGAAGTATTAGATAATAAGATACAGTTACTACTAACTAAACTACGCCTACTAACTAATCTACTTATAGATTTAATAAACGCTAAAGGTAAAGATAAAGCTAAAGATTAGGAGCTAGCTAAAGATTAAGATCTAGCTAAAGTAGCCGAAATAGCTAAGAAACCGCCTCTTACTACTACTAATATTAATCTACTAGCTAATACTAACTCTACTATAAAACAGATCTAAGATTAGTCGACTACTGTCTTACCTGATTTAGTAGCTGTTAAGCACGGCTAGGGGCGCCTAAAAGGTTTAAAGAACAAGCTAAAGGCAACTCTAGCTCTAGCTTAAGCTCTAGCTTAAGCTTAAGACTCTATACGTTCTATTAACCTTAAAACTACCTGAATAACTTAATCCTGATCACGTTATATAACTAAGGAGGATATAAGGGATAATACTAAACAGAAGGTATAGTAATTAGCTTATTCCGCTATAGCTATAGCGTTCTACACTACTTACTAGACTGTAGTTAAAGACGATCTAGAAAACGTCCTAATTACACATAAGGAGGCAGTTAGTAGCGTTAAGTCTAAGTAGTAAAAGGAGGCTATATAGAACGAACTTGACTTACTTGTAAAGAACAATATGTAGAGTCTAGTCAAGAGATCAAGCCTTTAAAAGGGTACTAAGGTTCTAGGTAGTAAGTAGGTGTTTAAGAAGAAAACTAGCGTTAATAGTTTAGTAGTACGCTATAAGGCCTGCTAGGTAGTCAAAGGATATAAGTAACGCTACAGGCGTAATTACGATCAGACTTACGCTAGCGTAGCTAAAAGTATGACTTAGAAGGTAATCCTGGCCCTAGTAGCTAAGAAAGACTAAGAGACAGAACAAATAGACTACGTTATAGCCTTCTTAAATAAGGAAGCCGATAAGGATATATACGTAGAACTTCTAACTAGCTCTAGTAAAGATAATACCTATGTCTATAAGCTTAACAAGGCTTTGTATAGTTTAAAGCAGGCTCTATAGTTGTAGTAGCTAAAGCTGTACTAAGTACTTATTAAGCTAGGTTTTAAGCCCCTAATAGCCGACGATTATATATATTAATACCCTAATAGCGGATTAATCGTTATAACCTATATAGACGACTTTCTTCTAGTTAGCCTAAAGGAGAAAGAGCTAACTAATCTAAAAGTAGTCCTACAAAGCGCGTTTAAGATAAAGGACTTAGGCCCTTACTACTACTTTATAGGCGTTAGGATCGTTAGGAACAGGGCTAACAGGATTATATCCCTTATACAAGACGCTTACGTTAACAAGGTACTAAAACGCTTTAAGATAAGTAACTACAAAGCCTCTAAAACACTATTAGATCTAGCTTACGCAAAGCTTATAGTTTTAAACCTAGAACACGCTATAGCAGATTAGGTTAAGCTGTATTAGCAGATCGTTAGTTCCCTTATGTATCTGTCGACATAAACGCGGCTAGATCTATACTATTTGATGTCTATATTGTTACGCTATCTTACAAATCCTTTTGCTAACTATATAAGCGCTATAAAACACGCGTTACGTTACCTAAAAGGTACGCCTAACTTAGGAATTATATATAGGATAGGTAAAGGAGCGTTAGAAGGACTATATAGATATAGCGATTTAGACTACGCTAGTTATATAAAAACGTAAAGATTAACTATTAGGTATTTATTTAACTACTATAGTAGCGCGATATCCTTTAGATCAAAACGGCTATAGGTAGTAGTACTCTCCTCTACAGAAACCGAATACTACAGGTTATCAAACGCTACAAGAGAGGCCGCCTAGCTAAGGCAGCTGTTCTACAAGTTAGAAGTCAACTCTAAAGACACTAAAACGATCTAAATATACAGTAACAACTAAGGATCTCTAGCGCTAATAGATAACCTAGTTATCTACTAGAGAACTAAGTATATCGACGTGTAGTACTACTATATTTAAGAGTAAGTCGCGCTAGGCAAAATAGAGGTTTAGTTTAAGCGTATAGAGGATATAGCGGCTAACGGACTTACTAAGGCTCTAAAGGGGCTAAAACACGCTAAGTTCTTAAAGCTGTTAAATCTGTACACTATAGCTATCCTAATTGCCTAATTAGGACGTTTCCTTGTTTCTATTTCCTCTTTTAGCATTAAAAGCGGCAGAATCTTACCGGTTTACTATTTCTATTTCCCTTTATAGTAATAAGACAGTAGAAAGCTTACTAGTTTACTATTTTTATTTCCCTTTACAGTAATAAGGCGGCAGAATCTCACTAGTCTACTATTTCTATTTCCTCTTTTAGTATCTTACTCGGCAGAACGGCAGGCGGTATAGAGTTTAGGCTAAATTTAGGTAGATAGGACGTTATAGGCGTAGATTTAGGGGTGTGTTACAAGAAACCACTGGCCTGATCACGTAGAGTTAGTAGTCACGGGACTAGAAGGCTCGGAGCCTTAAGTCTAACCTAATCAGGGTTAGCAACCTGCTAAAAGTTAGTTGTTTACTATTGCTATACAGGCACTCTATATAATTACTTTACTTAGTTAATTTAATTCATTGGTTCCTGTAATACAACGATAGATCAAATATCCCGTGTAACAGTTATTATAATTGTTATTATTATTGTTATTATTATCGTTGTTCTATAGTACATTAGGCAGGGCTATAACTATGTAATCCCTTTACTACCCTATAGTAAGTAGACTATCTATAACTACCTAGTTTGTTGTCTAATATACAAGAAAAAGTAGTACTAGATTAGCCTTACCTAGATCCTTAAGTTAATACCTAATAAAGAAAAGGAATCGCTTGCCTTAGAAGGTAACTACTATAAACTAAATAATCTAGTAGATCCTCTTATTAACTTAGTAAAACTTATATATCTTAAAAGTCTGTCTCTTCTTACTATTACTTACTATTACTTACTAAGCTTACTATACTCTAATACTACTATATTTTATCTTACTATAAGAACTATATAATATTTTAAATACTGTAGTCTTGCTTAAATACTTGTTAGAGTAGCTAGCTAAAGAAAGAGGTAAAAGGTATAGTTAAAAGTATTAGATCTTTTTTAACTTAGAGTATGTTAGTAACCTGTTATATAATCTTATATCCTTTAAGCGTAATGTATACCTGTATATACTTATCGTCCTCTTATACCTTAATGCCGTCTATATCGCCGCCTATGTTATTATTATTATTAGTATTAGTAATATCTATAATATATCGCTCTAAGAGTAGGACAAAGCTATGTATTAGACTTAGGCAGCTAGCTTTAATTATCTTTAATAGCCTTAATAGTTCTAGAAAAGCCTTTACCTATTTACTTATAAAGCTAAGTTAAAGTAATTAAGAGATGTTATTCTTTAAGAACAGGTATACTATTAGATTTAAGGGTACTACTACGTTAGCCTATTACTTTTATTTTCTAATAATATATTAGTACTACTATTAATATATTAAGGAACTTATACATGTATAAGCTCTTTACTAAGTACATTATAATTTATTATATACCTATATTTAAATACGTTATCTATAAGATAAAGGCTAATATAGACATTTAGTAAACATCTTAGTTTATCTTATTTTAAGAGTACAGGTCTTTACTTAATAGGTTTTAACCTAAGTAATAACTTTAGTCTTAATCTTAAGTACTCTCTCTACTTATAGAATACCTCTTATCTATTAATATAACTAACTCTACTAGCTCTACTATATTAGCGTCTACTGTATTAGTGTTAATAAGATATAACTAACTAAAGTACTTAGTGTCTTTATCTATATCTACTATATTAGCGTCTACTATATTAGCGTCTTGTAGGCGTTAATAGGATATATAACTAACTAGAGTAGTGCTTAGCGTTAAAGTCTACTACATCTGTCGTATCTACTATATTAGTGTCTACTATATTAGTGTTAATAAGATATATAACTAACTAGAGTACTCGGCGTCTTTATCTACATCTGCTATATCTATTGTATCTACTATATTAGCGTCTACTATATTAGCGTTAATAAGATGTATAACTAACTAGAGTACTTAGCGTCTTTATCTATATCTACTACATTTAGTGTATCTACTATATTAGCGTCTACTATATTAGCGTTAATAAGATATATAACTAACTAAAGTACTTAGCGTCTTTATCTATATCTGCTACATCTACTTTACTACTGTTCTTATCCTTACTAACATCCTCTTTATCTTCTTAATCCTCTTTACCCTCTTTACTCTTTAATTAGCTAGAAAAGACTTTACTAACCTTTCTATCTTTTGTAGGTACTATAGGTGCCTTTAAGTTAGTATCTTCTATAGTATTAATTAAGAGTAATAGATAACGACGACAATTCTAGAATATAGTAAATACTTCTTTAGTAGATAGTAGTTCCTTAAGATAAAAGCTAGTATTAGTAATTAATAATATAATACTATATAGTAACGTTAAAAGTACCTACTCTAGAGGCCTGTTCTCTTTAATACGTAAGAAGGATTAAAGAAATAGCTATCTGTACTAACTAGTACGTCTATAGTATTATAAAACAAGAGAAAGAAGAAGTATAGTACGCCTTGTTTTAGATAGTAACTAAGAGAAAAGGTATAGTATAGACTAGATATAAGGCTACTCTAGAGGAAATAAGAATACTTGTATAACCTTAATAAAGGTAGTTTAACTATTAATTAATAATATATTATTTAAGAGAATACTAAATACTACTACTTAGCTAATTCTACGCTATTTAGAATAAAGGATATTATATCTACGACTAAGGATAAGATTAAGCGTTAGTATAATAGATATAATAGATAGCGGATCTTTTCTTATTCTAAGGTCTTTAAAGAACTAATTTTTTTTAGTAGTCTTATTAATACTATAGCCTGTCTGTTAGAGATATATTATATTATAATAGTACTTTCTCTTACTTACTATATTATAGTATATATCGTCTCTCTTATACTATATATAGAGACAGGCTCTACATCTCTTTACTATATTATAGTATATAAACCCTAAGTTGTCTATAGCTTATAGTATGTTACTAGTTATTATAATTAGAAATACTTTAACTAGGAGATCTTAGTTACTAACCTAAATAAGCGCCTTATCGCCTAGTTGTTTTATACTAGGTTTAAGGTTAGTAATAATCTCTTAAAAAGATATACTATAAAGACTAAGTATTAAGGTAAACTTATTTAAAGGCTTTCTTTACTTATTAAAATCTAAGTATATAAGAGTAATATAAAAACCCTTTAGCGCTTAGTATATATTATAATAGATACTAAAGTTATTAATAAACAGGATTAATAGTAATAAACAAGAAATATAGTCTATAGTTGTAAAGTCCTCTAGTACCTCTCTACTATAGTAGTTAAGTTCTAGATTACCTTAGGTTAGATGTATAAAGTAAATAGATTTTATAATACTAGTATATAGATTAAGGATCTAGTAAATAAAAAACCTAGGTTTAGAGTTATAGATATTATCTTCTTTTTTATTATTAGTTAGGTTATAACTCTATTCTATAATAATATCTAGGATCTAACTAACCTAGTGTTCTAAAACCTTAAATGTTGTATTAAGTAGTATTATCTCTTAATTGTTTATATAGATATCGTCGAATTTAGATACTACTAACTCTTAAGGTAATATAACTATTATTATTATTATTATTGTTCTTACTACCTATGCCTAATGTATACAGAACCTCTATACTACATAAATTACGTAGTAAAACCGTGCTAAAGCCAGGTAAAAACCTACGTACTACCTCTTATAAATACTCTATTATAGCGCCGCTAAGGCGCTAAGACCTTATCGCTATCTTACTAGAACTTAACCTTCTAGCCTAGTAATACTAAACATACTAACAAGACGCTAGTAAGACGCTAAAAGGATGCCGGCCGTTAACTAAGATTACTCTCTCTCTTTCTTAGCTAGGTAGCACTTAGCTAGCCTAAACTATAAGAACTAGCTAGTAGATAGTAGCTAGTAGATTAGTACGCGCGCGCTCTTTCCTCTCTTTATTACTATTATAAAGTTATAGAACGTCTATAACGCCCTTAGGTAGAGTACTTACTATAAGGCCTGCCGCTACTAGTTAAGCTACTAGTAGTTAAGGACTAGGTAAGCTACTATCTCTAGGGCCTTACTATAAGGGCACTAAGGGGTCGCTACTTCTAGTACTCTACGTTTAAAAAGAAAGGCCTAGAGCCTAACCTTACTAGTATAGATCTACGTTAAAAGTAAGCTCTTATACTTATAGAGAAGTAAGTACTTCTTAAAGGTATTTACTAAAAGGGCGGGTAGCGCGGCTAGGATAGTACCCTAATAGTGTACTAGTAAACTATTATATTAGGTCTATCGTGTCTTCTAGTTCTCTTATAAGGTCTCTTCTAGTAAGGAGTCCTT